ATCTATCTTTCTATGCTTCGCTTTGGTACTTGTTATGCAGCCTTTGGGTCCCAGCAGCCAATAGTGGGAGTATTGATTTGTTAAGGGGCTGTAATGGCAGTCTTCTGTAACATAGCCTTGTCTTTCACTGTCTCTCGCAGCATACCATCAGTCTCCCACCACCCCAGTACTATGTCCCAATTTCTGAAATTCTCCATCAGTATGTCAACAGTCTCTGAGAATCTCAGATACATTTATATATAATGATGATGTGCTTCCCCCAGATGATATGGGGAGGGGCCTCAGCTGAGACTCCCTATATCTAGTACATTGACCATTAATGATTTTATAGGAAGTCAGTTCCATGTTTTATTTATAGCAATTTTTAAAAGGCATGTAAAAGCATTGCTTACAGTTTTATATGAAATAAAGGAAATCTGCATTCAGCAGAAGATGTCAGGTATCTCCTTTCTGTTCAAATTCCCACAAGCTGAAATTCTCACACACGGGCTACAGAGCTGCCATGTTTAAACTTTAATTGATCGTTCAAGAAAACAAAATCATGTACATAAAATCTGTATTAAAATTCATAAAAGCATTTTCCTTTGTCTGTACAGTTGGAATTACAAAGGTACTGCAGAAAAGTTTACAACTTCCAAAAAGGCAGAATATGAAAATAAATGCCTATAAAAACAGTATGAATGCCAAATGTGCATCTTCTAATAAATATAGATCACCAAGGGATTACTTAATAGTGCAAGTACACAGAGCAACCAATCCCATATTATCAAATCAGTGCAATTAAAAATGATTTCTGATTGGTTACTTGTTTGCTTTATTAAATAAAAGGCCCCGTGTATCTGCTTCAGATGGCAATCCTGGGCAAACACCTCTCCTGATTGCTTAGTTCACAAAATATATTCATTAAAACAATTTAGTCATCAGCCCCACACAAATGGAAAAAAAATAAACTCGCACTCGAACCCTGAGAGCCAGGAATGAGAACAAAAGTCCTTCCTGGTAGTTCCTATTTGTCAGGGTTGTATGAATATTGTAACTTTAGCGAGACTTGTATTGGTACATGGTGCTGTCTGCACGTGTCATCTTTTTTGGATAACGATACTTTTAATTAAAAAAAATTCTGTCATCCTGCTGCTCCCGTGCAGTTTCTTGTATCCGTTTCCCAGGCATAAAAGCAACCAGCACACCTATAGAGAATAAAAGATATAAGCTTTCCAGGGCAGGGAACTCCTAAACATCTTGTCCTGATTTGTATTGTAACTGTAATGTCTTCCTTATATTGTAAAGCGCTGCGCAAACTGTTGGCGCTATATAAATCCTATATAATAATAATAATAATAATAATAATTCCAAGCACAACCTTCAAAATAATCACTATTCTCTATGGCTGTGCAGGGAATGTCCAAATCATCTCTACAGGTGACATGGATGCAAGAAACTGCATTGAAAAGATCTGTGCAGGTTAAGACTGATTAGGCAAACAAATGGGCCAGATCAATGCACTTTGTTTTAAACTGCACTTACCTTTTAAACATCATCTAAGGTCTGAATAGTTTAGAACTTTCATTGGGGGGTTACATACATAATTTAGCTTAAAAGGCAGTTCTTTTGTTTGCACAAAAATATGAAATACATTGTGCTTTTGATTTAAAATAAAAAAAAACACTTAAAAAACCGACTTATAATGAATATTGCTGGAACGATACACCCACCTAACAAGAAAGTTGTTCTGCCCAGGTAGTTTCAGTGGAACCATACTGTGTTAAAAAAAAAAAAAAACGGACCAAACTAGAAATCACAGGGCCCCATAGCAAAATTTTGTATGGGGCCCCGTGATTGCTAGTTATGCCACTTGCAGAGCCCACCTGAGAGTGACCCTGCAGAGCCCAGCATAGACTCTCTATAGTGGGCTCTGCAGGGTCTCAGGTGGGCTGCACACCTCTTACCTGTCAGCGATGTCCGTCTCCGTGGTCGCCGGGCCCTGCCTCCTCTTCCATCACTGGCCCCACCTGCTCTTAGGTTGCTGGCCAGTGATGTAAGGAGGCGGGGTTGCTCTTAGGCGGTCCCGCCTTCTCCTTCACCACGAACGCTGGCCTCTTCTGTCATAGCTGCTTGCTGTCACTGACACAGATCCGCAGTGGCTGTGAGAGGAAACACCGCTACTGAGCTGTGTCAGCCAGCACCCTTACATGCCATAGCGACCCACAAGGCATCAGAGGGATGCCCTGGCCAGGCCCCGGGCCCAATAGCGGCCGCCTGGGTCGGTATGGCGATTGTTACGCCACTGAGACCAAAGCAATACATTACCTTCACGGGATGGGGTGGGTCATCTTGAAAATCTGCATTACAGCTCTGATCCATACTCACACCATATCAAGTAAACAAGCACTCATTCGTTTTTTGGGTTTTGTTTTTTAAACCGCCTGTAATTCTCATTAGCCACAACCTAAGCTACAACCTTAGGTAGAACAATACCAATGACCCCCTCACCGCTAGATTACCTGAAAGTTAAACATTGCACAGTGCCAAGCCCCACATATGACAGCACTCAGGTCTGACAACTGACCACTGGCAGGATCTCTTAACCACAAGAACTAGCTGTGTTACTGCAATTCCAGCAGTAGGGGTGGACAGACACCTTAAAAGGAAACCCAAACCAAAACGGGGGGCTGTCACTGCTGAAAATACTAGTTGCCATTTCTGGCTTCAATGCTTCCTTAGAATGCAAAATCAGAACTGTTGATGTGAATAATGGTTTTGGCTCAGTGACTCTAAGTACAGAAGTAATTAGGTCTGTAGAAAAACCAGGCAACTAGTATTTTCAGAAGGAGGCCACAGGTTTCCTTCAGGTGTCCTCATACACAGTCTGGCACAGTGAAGAAAACCTGTACAAAGCATTGTGGTTCATCCAAGAATTTAAGTTAACTTGCACAACAATAACCTTACTGCCAGAGGAGTCAGTTCTAGATAAGCACATACTTAAAGGAATATGCCACAAAACAAAATACATGTGTGAGAAGCCCCAGATCAAAGCTATTTTCCAACACCTGGGCTGTATACAAGGGCTCTGTGGTGCCCAATGCGGGCCCTGTGGTGCTCAAGCACTCACCCCTCCCTCACTCCTGCCTGCTCCTCTCTCTCTGATCCTCTCCGGCCGCTGTAGCCCCATCTAGGAGTACTGACACTGCTGCGCTAGGAGGAGGCTGAGGAGCCTCTTACCTAGAGCAGCACAAGGCACTTGGGGACCCCCTCAACTGTGGGTTGCGTCCCACAGGTTGAGAACCACTATTCTAGATGAAGCTTCCCACACTGGAATTTGTTTTAGGTCAGATATTATGTTAAAAAAATGAGGCCCACAAATAGAACTCCAGTTTACACTAAAAAGGTTTGAGAAAAGTAACCGCACAGAAATGAACACCTTTTTTTCAAGAATAGGTTGCCTTGACTGTCCTGCGCCATTTGCATTGCACCACTATTAAAGACATGTTCTGTGCCAGCTGGTAGACTGGAATCTGATCTCTGTACCATGCAATTCCCAGTGCCAAGTGTTGACTCTTACACAGAGACTCCCTCCCCCTTCTCACAACTGAAGATTAGGAGTTAGCACCGGGAAGCCATTGGCAACCATGCAAACTGAACAATACAGGTAAACTAGTAAATGCCAACCCGTTATATTGAAGATTCCTATTACCCACAAACTCAAACATTGCTGCAAGAGATGAAATAACCTTTCAGGAAAGTGCATTTGGTTCATTTAGTCCTTTAAACAAGAATACAATTATTGCAGTGTGTACTGGCTCCTCTGGCAGGTAACCGAAATAAAAAGGTCCTTTTGTTAAAATCAACCTCAAACCCATGTCACTCAGACACCTCGCTGTAGTAATATTTGTGTGCAGCATCTGTCATTTTCCAGCCGGCTGCCCGATACTCAATCATTTCAAGCAGGAGAAGCTGCGCCAATGACCCCAGTCCATTCTGAAGTAGGAAGCTATCCCTTAAAAAGGAGAAAAGCTCATCCATTCTTTGCGCATTCATCTTCTCCAACTGTTCCCCAACACGGTGTAACTGCAGAACGAGACAGTCCACCTGTGAGCAAAGCAAAGGTCAGTGTTCAGTCCACTGTATATTAACTGCCTCAACACAAACCCAAATTATCTTACATAGTTACTGAGTTTAGTGTCACTTTAATTCGGCACACCGGACAGACACTGTGGGACACGAGGAGTCTGTGGTGGATCAGAGACCAGCACCAGCGCTGGAGGGACTGTCTGAAACCAGTGGAATGAAAAAGATGATCGGATCAAGAGGCATCAAATAAGGTAAGTGCTTACAGCAGCATTTGGGGGGGGGGGGGG